GATCCAGGCTTTCTTCCACTCCCACCAGGCATAGCAAGAGTAAATTGGACTTCTATAGAGTATTCACTAAGTCTGAATGGGGCAAAACCAACTGGCTGCATGTTGGGCAATTTGGAAGCAAAATACAGAAACTGTTCACAGTATTTAACATTGTGTAGATTTTCTAATGCAAGTCCTGAATGAGTCTGAAGTTAGTCCAGATTCCAACTGGCAGAACACCGATGGACACCTGAAATCTGGTGGGGGATCTGACTGCACGTTATCAGGACAGGCTCAGACAGCGCTGGGTTTATATCTAATATAATGACAGCACGTTATCAGGACAGGCTCAGACAGCGCTGGGTTTATATCTAATGTAATGACTGCACGTTATCAGGACAGGCTCAGACAGCGCTGGGTTTATATCTAATGTAATGACTGCACGTTATCAGGACAGGCTCAGACAGCGCTGGGTTTATATCTAATGTAATGACCGCACGTTATCAGGACAGGCTCAGACAGCGCTGGGTTTATATAATGTAATGACTGCACGTTATCAGGACAGGCTCAGACAGCGCTGGGTTTATATCTAATGTAATGACAGCACGTTATCAGGACAGGCTGAGACAGCGCTGGGTTTATATCTAATGTAATGACAGCACGTTATCAGGACAGGCTCAGACAGCGCTGGGTTTATATCTAATGTAATGACTGCACGTTATCAGGACAGGCTCAGTCAGCGCTGGGTTTATATCTAATGTAATGACAGCACGTTATCAGGACAGGCTCAGACAGCGCTGGGTTTATATCTAATGTAATGACAGTACGTTATCAGGACAGGCTCAGACGGCGCTGGGTTTATATCTAATGTAATGACTGCACGTTATCAGGACAGGCTCAGACAGCGCTGGGTTTATATCTAATGTAATGACTGCACGTTATCAGCACAGGCTCAGACAGCGCTGGGTTTATATCTAATGTAATGACTGCATGTTATCAGCACAGGCTCAGACAGCGCTGGGTTTATATCTAATGTAATTGTGACGAGACCAATCTCGCCACATTGCATTGGAGAAGCCTGGTTGCTCGCCTGCTGCCTTTGGACTATGGCCCCCTTTTAAAAGACTTTATTTTTGCCTGCAGAAAAGCTGTATTCGTGCTTTTCTACCTGGGGT